CAACCTCCGCCTCCTGGGTTCAGGCAATTCTCCTGCCTCAGCCTCCTGAGTAGCTGGGATTACAGGCACGCGCCACCATGCCCAGCTAATTTTTTGTATTTTTAGTAGAGACGGGGTTTCACCGTGTTGACCAGGATGGTCTCGATCTCTTGACCTCGTGATCCACCCGCCTCGGCCTCCCAAAGTGCTGGGATTACAGGCTTGAGCCACCGCGCCCGGCCGATGTTACACATTTTTATTACCTATTTATTATATTAAAGATTTTTTTTAAAAAAAACTCATTATAAAATTCACATAAGAGTATAAAGGTCCAAGGATAGCCAAGACAAATTTGAAGAAGAGAAATAAAAAGGATGGATTTGCTCCATTAGATGTCATGATTTCATGTACTGCTTTATCTATTAAAATAATATGGTGTTAGGAGAGGGTCAACACATCCATGAGTGGATACACAGAACCTATTCTTACATCAGAACTCAGGGTATGCAGACGTGACCTTAAAAGCTGGTGGGCATTGTAAGTAGCTTTGCTTCTATTCATATAGAAAATAATATAATTAGAACCCTACCTCATGTCATACTCCAAAATAAATCCCAAATGAATTAAAGACACAAATGTGAACATACAACAAATACATTTTTATAATTTGGGGATGGAAAGATTTCTTAAACCAAACTCAGAAAGCATAAATCTTAAAGGGAAACATTGATCAATTTGACTACATCATTGTTGGCGAGAGCAATAAATTTAGAGAGCAATTGGTAATATATAGTGAAGTTGAAGATGCTTGTATTCTAGATCCGAAAGCTCTAATTCTTGTTATAGACTTTAAAGAAACTTGAAGATGTATGCATAAGGAGACATGCTGCACAGTATAGCTGTGAAAAATTGGATGCAACCTAAACGCATATCATTAAAAGAATGGGTAAGTAAATAATAATGCAGTAGGATAAGTCAATAATAATGGAGTATTCCATATCTGTTAAATTTATTTAAATCTTAACCTATATGTATTGATATAGATAGATATTAAAAATAAAATATTGAATGAAAATAAGATGTAGAAAATGAAATTTTCACAAAAAATACTATTTACTGATTAGGGATTCATATAAATGTAGTAAAAATATAGACAATAAATGGTCAGAATATACTCCTACTTCAGGATGGAAGTTATTTTAGAGAGCAAGAAAGGAAAATAATATCGGGGAAGAGATTAAACATTCTTCAACTCTAAGTACAAGGTTTTATTTTTTTAATCAATAAAATCTGTCTGCTCATATGTTAAAATTCTAAATGGTATGTAATATATGTTTGTTATATTACTGTTTATATTTTTCCATGTGTTTGAAATATTTCAAGTTAAAAAATTAGCATTAGTAACATGATTTTTTTCACGCCAGTAATTTACATATTATCTGTGTATAATTGTTTGAATTTTAAGGTATGATTATTACTGTTTTGGAAGTGTTTGGAAATTTTACCTCAAATTCTCAGAAATTGTTTTGTTTTAGTTCGTTTTCTCAAATTGTTAAATAAAAATTATATGTGAAAGAAAACACTATAAAATGCTGACGTTACAAAGCATTATTAGCTTATAAAGAAATTCATTGCATGGCTCCACTTCAGTTTTGATCATTAATTACTAGATAGACAAGGAAAAATGAAAGCCAGAGTCCAGGGACCATTACCATTGGGAAGCATAGTATGTTAGTGGGTTAATAAAATTTGATTCACTAAAATTTACTCCCTAAAACCTTTCAAACACGGAAGTGCTCTGTAAAATGAGATATACCAGCAAATTCCATAGTGTAATTCAGGCTCTTGGGACTTTAGACCCCTTTGATCTTGTCACAAATTGGCTCCTGAAAACCAGAAGGCCTCCGGGACTCAAGTCTCCAGGGACCTTACCCCTGAAGCATCTCAAAACAAATAAAGTGGCTGAGACAGACGCTGGACCCAGACAGAATGGCAACCATTTCACTAAATTAACCCCAAATGATATGAACAGACAATTCTCCACATGTAATTATGGCTTTTGTTATTTTTTCCCCATGAAAGCATTCTGTTGCTTTGGCTTAAATGCAACAGATAGAGGTATTCAGCCTGGGCTGGCCATATTTCCGATCCATATTTCAATAGATTATCCTGAATTGGCCTCCTGGAAGCATTTATGCTGACCAGTTTTGAAAACCTCTTTGTCAGCCCTCACCCTTACCTGCTAACACCGGCCGTAATGGATGAAAGCAGGGGGTGATGATAATCACTGTCTGCTGCCCAGCACAGAGTGAGCTGCCTGAGTCTGCACAACAGTCCGTCTGGAGAAAAAAAAAAAAAAAAAAAAAGGAAATAAGGGGTGTAATTCAATGAATACTTGGAAACCAAGCTGAAGGGTTTCTTTTTCCTTTTAAAGGAGTAGTGATATCAGAAGCAGGATTATGAAAAAGAAAGAGTTAGTAAAAATAGGATCTTTGTGAATTAGAATAGCGAGGCCATTTCAAATTGAATTACACAGGATCATGGCAATTAGAATTGGAAAAGATCTTTCAGTCTTTGTCTGTCAAAGAATGATTACTCCCAATGGAATATTCTTCCAGGCTTAGTCCAGTCCAATTCTGAATGATTCAAGTGATCGAGCCTCCTCAGCTTCTCTTGGGATATCATTTCAGACTCTGAAATAGCTAATTGCTAGGAGATCCCCGCTCCTATTTTTCTTTGCCTTATTTCCATTATTCTGTTTTGTATTTCCCCAACTCATCTTAAAACTATTGGAATTTAATTTTAAGTGCATATAATCTACATTTAAATGACTAAACCCAGCTGAGGCTGGGTCATTATGGCTAGGTTCATGTCTCTCACTCTCTTTCACACGCACATACACACACCCATATGAATACATGCATATGCATACAACACACACATATTCACACATGTACTCACATACATACACACACAATTAGAAAATGTTAAGCAGCCACAATGTGATTTTCTAAGAAAAAATTTTATGAGAAAAATAAAGACCCCTAACTTTTAGATCATTCACTGATTTTTAAAAATCACAAAAACATCAATAAACTACTGCTTTAAAACTGATAGAGGCAACAAAGAATAAACCTAAATGTTATTTTGCTTGTGAATATTTTTAACATGAGTAAAATAATATGATCTTTTAATATAGTAGTATATTAACTATAGTCTATTTAGCATAAAACATAGAGATATATGGTACTAATACCATAATTATAATTATATTTATAGAAAATATTCAAACTTTTCAAATTCATTGAAACAACACTGGCTTACATATATATACATATATGTGAGTGTATGTGTATATATATATATATATATATATATATATATATAAATAAACATAACATTTTATGGATAGACTGGTTTTTACACTAAATATGGTTTGAGCTTTGAGTAACTTTTAGAGCCTGTGGGAACAGC